AACATGTCACTGATGGCCAGTAATTCTTTGAGGACACCAATGATTGAACACAGAGTCCCCAAACGTCCTCAGTTCGTAGAAGCCAGATTTTGTAATCAAATGCCAGAACTCCCCTCACCAATGCGAGACTAACATCAAGAAGGAACTAAAGATGGTTCAAATCGGTGTTGAGTACCCTAGATTTTCTCAGAATTATTTCGTACTGTTTACTTCTCGTGTTTAATCATTCTTTCTTATTTATATATTCTCCGTGTTCTTGTTTTTTTTATAAACATTAATTTTATCATTTAAACTCAATTGTATTCCAATATGTCAATGTTTTGTTTCATTCACTGTGCCGATATAAATTGTAACAACTTGATGCATATATTTTACTAGTAGTTACTTTATCTATTACTAACTACATCATTCAATCAGTCAATATCCGATTATGGATGTAAATTCATCGTATTTATGTAATAATTGAGTCGAATTCCAGTTCAATCTGTCATTATAAGAAACTTTTAAATGACATGATATGTAATTTAAACAGCAAACAAAGGTATCTATACCAGGGTTGGACTTGGTAGTTCCAAATAAGTTAAGCATTGGGTAAAGAGTTACTAATAAAACATTAACTTTTGTTATATCCCAACGAGTAGAAAAATTGTATTACTGACGTTTCATGACCTAATGTAATTACTGTTTAAACTTGGGTTTATTTAGTGTCGGTTATTCATTTACTCTAAAGAAGTGGCTTATATTTAGTCACGAAACGTCACAAATACAATTTTTCTACTCATTGGAATATAACAAAAATATGTTTATTATTAACAGATAAATGTCTCTTAAACTTATTGTTTAACTTCTATCAACTACTTCTGATCTGTATTCTCGCACATCGATCCGGATATACTTAGTCTTATAGATGAAGAATAAAGCTCAATACCTTAGAGACTGTGAAGCTCTAAACATTCAAAAGTTATAGACAAGCCATAAAGTTTTGCATTTACAGAATTTGAGATGCCTTTTTGTATATTTAAAACACTACTCATAAGTAGCTCATGTGATCTGGTTAGATTTCATCAAAGTATACCTGTTAAATTTTGAAAATTACCATTGAACTTAACTCCTTAATTAAACGATACGCCATGGATATTTTATTCCCACTAGTTCAAAATAGATTTTTGTTAAAACTGAGGAGTTAAGTAAAAGTATAAAACTTTTAAATCTGGGGATTCGGTATACAATCACAATTGATTGATCACTGGGTGGCGATCAATGTCATGCATGTCTAGTCCTTATTAGTGCAGATCGAATGCTATCGATCATGTTACAATGTGGCCACCAGTCTAGGTGACTCGACACTGCGGGCAATATGTATTGAGATTTAGATGGTAGTTGGAGGTAGTCAACAGGAAACCCTGGACCCGGGTTTCGTGCTATTTGGCACTCGTCAGCAAGGTGTACCTGTAATCTTGAGGGAACTGGTGCTCCTCCAACCTCCGTCGGTATACAAATATCCCTCTTATGTATTGACTAAATACTCGGTTTGCAAGGACTTTATATTTTTAAAATTAAAAGTTTATTTGGCTAACTGACTGTTGCAATCTATTTTACAGTTCGTAAATTACAGTGAATTAATAATAAACCTGTTACTCAGCTTTGTATTGATCATTATATGAATTTGATTTAGGCGATAATTTAGACTTTGAAAATGATGAGGAGGAGGATGACGAAGATGATGGGTTTGTACATGAAGACGATGGTGATGATGTACATGGAACAACTTGATTAACACTAGATATTTCACCGTCATCTGGACTAATATATGTAGAACATTTAGTTTGCATGAAGATATTCGAATAAACTGACAAAGGATGAGATGGAGGACAATGAGTTGTTGTTGTTGTTGTTTTTATTGCTGTTGTTATCGTTGTAGTGACTAACTGGCTCAATTTTAGTCAAATGATGATGATGATGGTAAGTTGAACTTACGAAACCAAGTGTTATGGCCTTGATGTCTGGCTTTCTACCACGCGACTTATCGACCAGTCAGAATACAACTTATACAGTCTTCACACTATGCCAAACCAATGACGTTCAACCGGTATGAACAGTTTAGCGTCCTGATTGGTCCTATGTCCCACTAGCCCTTCCACTTGAGTCCAGAACACAATACCAGCTTCTGTAATATGAATCGAATCGAATCAGATCAGATCGTTTATTTCAGACATACTCGGTTTATATATCAATCAGACAGACCACAACGTACCATAAAATAGAAAATAACATGTGTACACAAATAAGCCAAAAAGTGGCTGTGAACGAGGGGGACAGTAATTAATAGACTGAACATAGATTAAGAACCGTAAATCGTTTAACATTAAATTATAAGTCAAAATAAAGCTTATAATAAGAAGAATATAAATACACATAATGTAATTATTGAATAATTATACAATAAGAATATTTATAGAATATTAGTCTATTAACAGCCGTCGGAGGTTACCTGTAATTTAATCTTCACTGGGTTATAACACCAAGAATAAAATATTCACGTGAATTTGCATTTAATTCAACATACTCTTGCTTTGTATGCATAGAATCATATATGTTTTCTAGTCTGGATAACACGGAATAATGTAAGGTATTTTCCTGATCTTTCAAGCATTCCGATTAGTAGTTTGGAGAATAAGTTCTGTATGATCAAGTCGATCCTTTAGCATATACAGTAGCCACGTTAGTAGACTTATTGTTAGTGGGCATAACCGAAATAAATTCACAACAACCATGATAATAATTGATCATATTATTATTAGTGACTTTATTCAATATTATATTTTTGGTGCAATATAGAATTCTCAGCACAAAGTATTTCAACAAGTTTCCTTTTCTTATTTCGTGATCGACCATTCTGATGAATATTGAATGGTCATCAGTTAGATGTTCACAGTTCAGAAATCCACATCTGATTAATGTATATTTTTTCCGATGCATATTGCCAGCAACCATGATGTCTCTGATTGGGCTCTTTTGTAACTTGTATAGCGAAATATCGTAAACTTGTCACAAACATACTTGAATAGGTTATGCGACTAATAGGCATAATGATGTGTTAAAACACAAGAAGAAACAGATAAATTGTTGAAATATCTAGATGGCAGGAACAGTTAGCCCAGATATTTAAGCAGGCCTTTCTTAAATATTTAAATGAGTTTAGCTAGTAAATAACTTATCAAATTGTTAAGTCACTTAACTGTTTTAGGACTAAAGTAGCTTCAAGAACTTGGCAAAAAGTACCTATATCTTATCCTCAAGTGGATTTCAAGTGATACCTATCTGGATCAGCGTCCAATTATGATATGCTCTAAACGGACGACCGTAAATAAGTACAATGAAAAAATGTAAGTAAACAAGATAGTGGTTTACAAAGCCTATAGATATTTGAAGGAATCAGCTTACTATTGTGTACAAACAAAATAATATAGTCATAGTTAGAGTATCTAACCACTTACTAGTAATCAACTATCTTGCTATCTGTTCTTTAGTACTGAATGAAACCTAGTAATCAATTTTCAATGATAAGTTGTTGTTTTTCTTGTTAACCATTGACAACATAGAATCTTTTACTACATTAACACTACTAAATGTTTTAACGAATTGGATTGTGGCAGGTTGAACCGATAAATATTTACCTCTGCTTATACATTTTGTTTCTGATCAACTAGTAGACTAATAAATATTTACTAAATTCGATTAATTTTAGTAATAAAAATATACTTGATATAATTAACATAATCGATGAACAAGGAGGAACAAATGCAGATGTAAAGGCGAAGGTTAGCAAAGCAAGGACAGCATTCCTACAATTGAAGAACATATGGAACTCAAAACAACTTTCAACCAATATAAAAGTCAGAATTCTCAATATGAACGTCAAGGTAGTTCTACTGTACGGAACTGAAAATTGGAGAACACCAACCACCATCAAGAAGGTGCAAGTATTTATAAATAGCTGTCTACGCAAGATGCTCAACATCCATTGCCCGGATACCATCAGCAACAGTCTTTTGTGGGAGAGAACAAATCAGCTTCCAGCTGAAGAAGAAATTAGGAAAAGATTATGGATAGGACATACATTAGACAAATTATCAAACTGCATCACGAGACAAGCCCTAACTTGGAATCCTGAAGGGAAGCGGAAAAGAGGAAGGCCAAAGAACACATTACTTTGGAAAATAGAATCAGATATGAAAAGGATGAATAACAACTGGAAGGAGCTGGAAGGGATTGCTGTGGACAGAGTTGGATGTAGAATGCTGGTGAGTGGCCTATGCTCCTTCACGAGGAGTAACAGGCGTAAGTAAGTAAGTTGATATAATTAGGAAGTTATTCGTACTTAAGTATTATTTTTAGTCAACTCCACCTGGAGCCCATCTAGGGTTACTGTCGGTTCTAAGCCCGGATAAAGGAGTTAATGTTTACTCCAGGACTAAAACCTAGTATCGTTCGCTTCAAACGCCATCACGTTTTCCACTTAGCTACTGAGTCCAAGAGTAAACATCAACTCTGAGAAGCAGGTACATCCATATGACGAGTCCTAAATAGAATTAAACGTGCTCACTAAATTATACTACTAGCCACTATCCATTTTTGCATATAATGCTTGTAAATTAAAGCAATATCGAGGCAATACGCACAGTATGCACATATGCTAATAAGAGACTGATCAATTACAGTCCTAAAACATCAATAAGGAAGATTCAAACAAACAATACCAAGTGAATTTTCACTTTTACATTGTTTTAAGGAAGGAAAAAACAACAATTGGCTTTATATAACTAAGTATAAACTTATATTTATTTGATATTATGTATAAATTATATGTACAACAACGGGCAATTAAACTAGCTAAAAAATAATACAGCTAGCCTATGTGAAATGAATTAACAAATGGTAATAATAATAATAAGAATATTATTATTATCGAAAATTGATAAAATATTGATTTTCACGTAGTTTGTGTATTTTCATTATTATCGATGATGTTGATTGTTGGTTTTAACTTTTGATTCTTTCAACTTGATTTCATACGGGATAGTAATTAGAAGTAGTAAAGGATCAATTAGGGAAGAGGGTAGGGAGGCAATAGAAGAAAGATTATTTAAAAAAAGAAAAGAAAATAAAAACAGTACAGTACAGGGAATTGAATGAATTCTAATGCCTATCACAAATTATCGTTTTAATTGTCCAAATAATACTCCTTGATATAATATATTCCCCATTTCCATTGTAACAACAATAGCATTCTGTGGTAGTCCCATTGGAGCACCTAAAGTTGCGAAAAAAATAAGTGATAAAATATATACTATTGAATAACTTTCAAGTAGAAAATATTTCTTGTTGAAAAAAATCATACTTCCTGAAAAGCATGATTATGGTAATCACCCAACAGAATAGATTGTATGGCATTGGATGTTCATCACAACTATTCACTGCTTTGCATCATGTTAAAAACGAAATTATTCAAGTGCTAAATGGTGTTTATCTTCTTGGTTTCAAAATGAACAAGTTGTTCTTTGATATCATAGTCAACTGAACTTTGAAAATTTAACTATGAAAATATTACACAACAATCATAAATTATACTACCCACTTTAAAAAAACATTTAACCAAAGGGATTAATTAATTCTTAACTGTAATTTAAATTTTCACTAATTGAACTATTGAATCAAATTAGCAGACATTATAAATACCATTTGTTTTTATCACTATTCATCTATTCAATTTATTCAGTTAGAATAAATCAAATAGTTTTTATTGATCTTGTTTGTACATGGGAATAAATCTATTCAGTAGTTGAATTCATGAGTTAATTGAGGCTAGACCACCATGGAAAACCTAGAAGCACTAGATGGCAGTTTCATCCTAGTATGGGACTCCTCAGCAGTGCACATCCACGATCTCGACTCAAGATAGTCGAATCCAGGACCTATCAAACTCGCGCGTGAGCGCATCCAACGGTGTTAATGTATAACTTCAATCAATCCACACAAAAGAACTTCCCTGATTGTAATCATTGTATGCTCACTGATGGCGTTCTCTAAGAGGTATTTCCTGGAGTTCTAGTGAGAAGCAGTGACCAGTGAGATAATAACACTTATGACAATGATGGACGGTGGTGCGACTTTATACATTAGCTGAAGTAGACATGAACGTCGTTCGATGCCGGCTCAGTGGTTTAGAGGTTAAGTGTTCACGTGTGAGACCAACAAGTCCTGGATTTGAATCTCTCGAGGCGGGATCGTGGATGAGCACTGCTTAAGTGTCTCATACTAAGATTGAAGGTCCTGGGTTCGAATCCCGCGTGGGAGGTCGTGGATACGCGCTGCTGAGGAGTCCCAAAATAGGACAAAACGTGCGTCCAGTGCTTCCAGGTTTTCTATGGTGGTCTAACTTTAATTAACTCATAAATTCACCTATTAAAATTACTATAATATCCACACACACACAAGAAGAACATAACCGTTCTCCAGATAAAAATCTATTCGTTAAACAGATTTCTTGTTTATTTATTTGTTTAGTTATATCAATTGGTTATCATGTTGTAGATTGTAGATTATAAATGGCTAATGCTTTAAAAAAAAACACACAAATTTTACAATGATCTATCTATCTATATAATGATAAATATTCATTAACAACTACATTTTTAAAGTTATTTATGCTAATAGATAATTGTATTTCTCCATTGTATACTTATAGTTTCATGTAAATGATGAATATAATAATGAATAACAATACACAATTCATTATTATAAGTTGGTCATTTACATTAACTGTTATTTATTATTTTGCTTTGTTCCGTTTAAAATTGTGTGTTTTTTAGTTGTATTTTGATTCTTCCGCTCTTTCCTTGTTTCTTTCTTTCTTTCTTTTTGTTTATTTTTTTTCTTCCTTTAAATCTTATTAATAAATAATAGTAATATTTAATTATATCAATAGTAAAACCATATTTTTTTTGTTTTGGTTATTAGTAACTAATTGATAAATAGTAGTATATTTGTTTATGATTGTTTAAATTTATTCTTGATGTCTTTAGCTTGTTCAGTTTCTATTGTACACACTCTCTGTCCCCTCTCTCTCTCTCTGCTCTCGCTCTCCGCCCCCCTCTCTCTCTCTCTCTTTGTATCCTTTTTTTTACAAAAAAAGAACAACTATATACCCATATATTTTCTCCTTGATACCTGTGTAATAATATTGTACATATATAATGAATATATATATATACTTGTTAATGTATATGATGATTTCTTATAATTAATAATGTTTCATTTCGTTTTTTAAAACATTTATGTATTACCATTTGAACATGTTGAGTAAATGAATGATTTGTATACCTACCATGAAATCAATCCATCGTTATCATCATTATCATCATTGACAATGTTATGTTTTTTAATGGTTATATATTGAGAATCATTATAGATCTAATTCATAGCTAATGATGATCTTTCCTTTATATATATATTACAAAAGTCATATTAGCCTACATCATTATTGATGATAGTAGTAGTAATAGTAGTAGTATATATAGTATTCTCATAAGAAACTACTTGTTCATATACATTTCTCATTATTGTTAAGAAATGAAACCAAAAAAAAAATTACAACATAAATGGAACACATTTGAATAGTAAATTAGTTTGGTTTGTTTTGTTGGATTTTACCTAAATCTGTAGTTTCACTCTCTCTCTCTTATCATCTAATATGGATGATATCGGTGTCCTTATGAACTTTCCTTCTTACAACAACAACAACGATAATAACACCGAATAGTAATAATACAATACTAGTTCTACTATAATTAATTTGAATATTTCAATAAAAGAATACAGATATATGTATCATCATTATTATGAATCTTGTTATAACACACAAATACATATACATGTATATTATGCATAAACCTTAATACTGTACTACCTTGTAGATTATTGTGTACAACACTATCAATCAAAAATGACTGAATACAATTTATTTTCTCTCTTTCAATGTTTCATGTATTTCATTGTGTTTTAGTTTTATGTTCACATAATTTGGATCATCTATCTACTATATAGTTTCTATCCTATTTCTATAAGTAAGTTTATTCTTATAATAACTACAAAGTATAATAAGAAAAAAAGAAGAAGAAGAAAAAGAAGAAGAACTTGTACATGAAAGAAAAAAAGAGAAAAGGATGTTTCTTCTATGTTTGTCAGTGTATATGACTATAATCCTAAGAGAACATGATGAAGTTGGCTATTGTTAATTACAATGTTGATTAGAATAGTTTAAGTTAATACACATATATACATATCAACACACATATAACTTTCTAATGGTTAGTTGAATAAATAAATATGCACAATTCAATAAGAATAATAAAGTGTGACGTTTTTTTTTTGGTTTTTTTGTTTGTTTGTGGTCAAATTCTCCAAAAAACAAAAAAAAATTTATCCTAAAGTAAACAGTTGTTTACATTTATTAAAATCTTTTCTCTCTTTTTTTTTCTTTGTTCTCTTACCTTAAAATGAAATAAACACAACAACGAAATAATAAATAAACAAATAAATTAATGTGTGTGCATATTGTGAAGAGAAAAGAGCGGAGGTGGTGGTGGTCGGGGGGGGGGACAAATACTACATTGTATATGAAACAATACTATATTTGGTTCTAAATGTATCCTATCTTAGGATACTAGTGAAATATTGGATATTGAACAAGAAACTTGTCAATTGTTCGGATAATTTATAATCAGGACATACAACATATTTATATTTATACATGTTTACCCAAATAAAAAGGAACATTTATTTATTTAAATATATAAACTTTGGCACAAAGAGGCACCAAATAGGATATGCCCCGGATAAATCGTTCGATTTATGTGACGGCTGTGGTATTACGCAGGTGCTTAAACTGAAACAGGTGGTTTTTTTAGGAGGCCACACCACGAGTCTTTGACCTAAAGATTTAATCCCTAAGACAGTGGAGCAACATCAGGAGATGCAATCCCATGGTACATGGTGATTAACGATTGGTTCATATGACATTTGTTCTTTCAGGATACTGGAGCCCATGTGCACCATTAGTTTGGAATCAGTGTTTTCCAACTCCCCTAGATGGATCTTCCGTATCCACAAAACCGGTTAGAACACCGGATATTCGCTTTTCGTCCTCTCGATTTTGTAAACAACAATAGTGCCACGAGAAGGCAGTGATTAGGACGTCTCTGGTTGTGGTTGTATGCACGTAGCCATATAAAAGCGTTTCGAGGGGGAGAACCAACTCTCCCTCACCACTCTCGGTTGTACCAGGGCATTTGGAGGTGTAAACGAACATTATATATATATATATATATATATATATATATATATATATATATATATATATATATATATTTTTCTGTCTATACAATATGTACAAAATAACTAAGATTGTTTTCGTAAAGGTTTATTTAAAAATTAACTTGTAGAAAGCAGGGAAAATGTTTCCTTCACTATTGGCCAGATCTAAATACAAACTTTGTAAGTGACATTTTTTCAATGGTTATTAATTGTTATTTCATGAAAAATAATTTCATTAGTTGACATTATGAGTCAATTGAAGCTAAACCATTATAGAAAACCTAAAAGCAATGAACAGTCGTTTCATCCTATTACAGGACTCATTAGCAATGTGCATCCACGATCCCACCTTGTCATATTCGAACCTAGGACCTATAGGTCTCACACGCGAATGCTTAACCTCTAGACCACTAAACTTGCTGTTGAGAATATAGCCAATACCAGAGAAATCCTACCGATTGCTATCTCGAGGCATTACTTTTGTTTACAAAATTGAAAGGACGAAAAGCGAATAACCGGCGATCAAACCAGGTTGGTGGACACAGAGATTCCACCTAGGGGAGTTGGAAAACACTGGTTTCAAACCATTGGTGCACATGGGCTCCAGTATCCTGAAGGAACAAGTGTCATATGAACCAACCGTTAATCACCATGTACCATGGGACTGCATCTCTTGATGTTGCTCCACTGCCTTGGGGATTAGATCTTTAGGTCAAAGACTCGTGGTGTGGCCTCCTAAGAAAATCACTTACTTCGGTCTGGGCATCCGGGCAGTATCACTGTTTACACACAGATCAAGTGACTTGTGTGGTGCATATGTATTCCGTGCCTCTTCGTACTAGTATTTATTTGTTCAAATAAATAAATACTGATTGAATTCTATCCAGCAAACTGGAATAGTATTAATTGTTCTATATTGTAGTCATTATAATGTAATCCTAGACAAACTACTCGGCCAGACTAGTTCAGTGGTTATCACTCTGACTTTAACGTTAGATGATGCGTGTTTAAATTTGATTAGGAGCATCATTTCCCTCAAGACTATAGATAACTTTGTTGACGTGAGCTAACTAGCGAGAAACTCAGGTAAAGCAGGGTTACTTAATGATTCTGTTTCACTAAGTTACTTAAGTAAATTAGAATATTAGTTTGTATCTGTGTTTTATTGAATAAAAGCTTGATGCTTAAAGAGACAAACCATTGGTGCATACTAACGATGGTATCTAATAATAACACTAGTTAATTGATCACACACTGCCACTCTTTTATAATAAATCGATCAGTATTCAATATCAGTTATGATTTGTTTTTCTTTGAACTTACCAGGTTGTGTTTGAATTCGGAAATTCTGTGTTGCCATTGACAACTGAGCAGCTGATAAACTATTATTTACTCCTGTTGATGCATTGTTATTATTAAAATGGAGATTTGCTGACATTGTAATAGCTTCATTTTGTTTGCGTAAATCAGACGACTTTTTCGATAAATTTGATCCAGTATTACATTGTTTCCCACCGACTTCACTGGAACTGTTCCCACCACTACTATTCATTTGATTACTAGATGATAGTTTCGGGATTTTGGCGTTTGGTGTATCTAAATGACTTGGTGCACGAGAATTGCTCTTTTTGCTTGAAGAATAAGATGATGACTTGGAGCATGACAACTGTTGTATTTGTTTGTTATTGTTACTGTTATTATTACTAGTAGTAGTGGCAATGTTACTGGAACTTTCAACTTGAGATAAGTGACTAGATTTTAGCGGTCCATTCAAATTTCCTGTTAATACTCCGTAATTGTTTGTTTCGGGCGTTTTTATGCCACCACACTGTAAACCAGCAGCCGCGGCAGCGGCAGCAGCCCATAACTGTTGACATGCCACCTGGAGATTTTTAAAAAGAAAAACACAACCAACATTACGTTTAATTATTATTTATAGAAATGATAACTAAATACCTAAATATTAATTCGAGATTTCGGTTAACCGCCATTTTAGGTAGAAGCTGTGTAAACAAAGTTGGTAGTAGGAAAACTCATCATCTTCATTCCCGCATGTGAGATCGCGAATGTGCACTGCTGAGTAAACCCATGGGACGAAGTGACCGTCTAGTACTCCCAGGTCTTCATTGGTGGTCTGACTTAGATCGATTCATGATTTCAATATGATCTTCATTTAGAGTTAAATAAGAAATTTACTTTAGTACAATAAATGACTCCATACATATATGCACCAATGAAGCATAATACTCACATCTGTGACAATATTGACGTTACTTGTTATTACGTTACTGAGGTGCACGAGATTATTGCAACAAGTTATTGGAAAATTTGTGCAACTGCTCAGAATCGGTCACAAAATCCCAGATAGATTCATTCTCAATCTTCTTGCAGCTATTGAGTTTTAAAACTATTTTATAATTTTTATTCCACGGATTCTCTCAGTCTTTTCAGATTACATCGTCTGTCCTTATCCTTTCCTACTACCACTGATATTATTGTAGTGAACGAGAATACATGCGGGGACAACCAATTGTATTTCAATACAACATTACAGAATATTTTGGTTAAATCTGAGGACCATAAAGTAATACTTCATTTGCAGATTATCCATCAATTGTCTCAGATTTTGTTGTTCTTTCGTTTTCATAACAATCACTTTCTGTTCTCGTTCTCTTCGATTTTCTTGACCGTCTGCTTCTAGGCATTCCACTTTCTACTGGTGATACATACTATTAATATCTGTCAACATCAGTAGCACACACCACACTATTACTACTTCTACTACTCGTGCACATATCGTGAAAGTTTTATATGGTCATGGTGACATAATGTAGAAACTTGAAATGATGAATATTTGTCACAGGTTCTATGTTGCTTATGACTGATTGATTGACTGATCACTCCTCTATCAATCAAAAGTTCTTCAGTTTGATCTTCTGCTTATATTTTATCATCTTTAACTTCAATAGATCTCTATAAACTATCTATCCAAATATTAATCCATTTATGGCGATACACCTGAATGAGATATGTTGTACTTTTTTTTAAATCCATTATAACATAGACAATTTATCCATCATTTATGAAATTCAGTATTGGTATATACATCCTTTTGTATTTGTGCAACTAAGATATAATTCCCATATCATACAATTATTAGCAAAGACGGCTGGCGGCTAGCAGTGGAATTCCGGAAGCGAGTTTCGTCCTATTCGGGACTCGTTGGCTGGATGTACTTGCATCTCAGAACTGATGTTCACTCTGGGACACGGACCCAGTATCGTTCGCTTCAAACGCCATCGCGTTATCCACTTACCAACAAGAGAATGATTAATTACAGTCCTAAATAACAATGGGAAGATACAAGTAAATAACACCAAGTGAATCATACATATATCATTTTAAATTCCTTATTTTACACATTAAAACAAACCTGTGCAGCTGTTTTAATATTTGAATCTTCACTTTCGAAAGCGAAGTTTGTTTGTTGTAATCTGCTACTATTATTAATAGTATTATTTGTTCCAGTTAGTTCACGTTTATTCACTTCTACTGGTGGATTCGATTTACATTTTAATTCTATGTTTTCATTGTGAATATCAGAACAATCAGTATGCAATAAAGTATCATCATCATCCCCATCGTTGTTATGATGGATCATCATCATCATCAGAGACAGTAGAGTCTTTATGATGATGATGATGACGAGGATTATTTAATTTTCGATCAGTTTCATTGAAATTGTTCAACAGATTGTCTTTACCATCTTTTTGAATAAATCGTTCATCGGAGTGCAAAGCAATTAATTCATTTTCATCATTATTATAATATTGTAATTTACTATTCAACTTTTCATGATCTAACGGCATAAGTGAGGATCTGGGATCACTATCTATGTATGAAGTACCTTTAGAATGAAATTTAAAAAAGAAACAATAATCAAATCATTCATAAATTAAAGATTTTGTCAAATTATTGTTTGAATGAACTAAAATACCGAAATATAATAGAAGCGGGAATTTCGAAAGTTTTAAATTGATTAACCCTCATTTAACCTTGAATTATATGATGCATTCGCGCGTGAGACCGAAGGCTCTGGGTTCGAATCCCGCTAGCGGGATCGTGGATGCGCACTACTGAGGAGTCCCACAATGGTCGTTCAGTGCTTCCAGGTTTTCAGTGGTGGTCTAACATCAAACGGTTCACAATCTCAACCAAAAACGTAATAATCTCCACAACCTCATAATGATAACAAACAAGTTTATTCGTGTGTGCTTGAAATGTGCCATTGTTGATTTTCAAAAAATGAATTTGCTGAAATTGGCAATCAAAAGGTTTTATCAAGGCAATCCAACCATAATGAACATTTCCCAACAAAGATTGATTGAAATTCAGTTAAGACAATAAACAATGGGTTAATATAATCCTTACAAATAAACATTGTCTTCATTGAATAAGTCAATGACCATCTGGACTTTATAGATATATGGTTAGATAGTTGTCATTTGAAGTGAAATATACTTGGATCAGTTCTTAGTTTGAAAATAAACAAACTAGTATGTAAGTACATAGTATTGACAATTTCTAAATGGAACTAACACACACATCTATTCTAGATTCTACTGTTAACCTTAATCTACATATAAAGTCATTAATAAATAGTATTTATTCATTTTTCTTTAGATTTCATTCGTTTGACTGTGTCGATCCAAGGGAGATTAAGTTTTAAAAAAACTCGTGTACTACAAAGGTATTAATAATCCACCTAGGGGAGTTAGAAAACACTGATTTCAAACCAGTGGCATATGTGAGCTCCAGGATCGTGAAGGAACAAATGTCATATGAATCAATCGTTGGTCACCGGGTACCATGAAATTGCATCTCCTGATGTTGCTCCACTGCCTTGGGGATTGAATCTTTAAGTTAAAGGCTCGTGATGTAGCTCCATAAAAAACCACATACTTCGGTTTGAACACCCTGGCAGTATTCCAGCTCTCACACAAATGAATTATTTATGTGGCGCATATCTGTTTGATGCCTCCTTGTACTAATGCTTATGTGTTTAAATAAATGGATAATTCAACAGTTCAAACCTGAACTCTGTTTACGAAAAGTAGCATACAGAATCTTATTCTATAATATATAAAATGAAATATTTATTGAATAAAATACATCACTTCAAATTACCTTTCTCATCTAAATTGATTAGGTTAGTTTCATTTGCTGTTAAATTTAATGGTAAACTTGAAGTGAATTGACAATCATCATTATCATGTAGGGTTAATTTATTCTAATAACAAAGATAGAAATATAGAATGGAAAATTATTTTTAAAAATATTATCAATGTTCTTATATATACATAAATATCAAAAGGGGTTTTGTGGATATTAAACTAATTTCAATGATTGAAATCATGAGTCAATTGAAGCTAGATCACCATGGAAAACCTGGAAGCACTGGGCGGCCGTTTCGTCCTATTGTGGGACTCCTCATCAGTGCACATCCACGGTCTCGCCACCCCCAGCGAGATTCGAACTCAGGACTGTTATGGATGCAGAGGAATATACCAATCATTATCATGTTAAGTTTAATGATGTCCTTGGACTTTAAATGGACATTTCCTATTGGCCATTATTTATCTCACTCGTTAAATATTGTACAGATGTTGTTTTCTATTTTTATGGTACGATGTGGTTTGTTTGGTTGGTATATAAACAGAGTATGTTGAAATATAGTGATTCATATCCCAGAGGCTGTGACTTGTGTTCTGGACTCAACTAACTGGGCTAGACAGGGAAGCGAGACCAATCGAGACTCTAGGTCGTCCGTACGTGTTTACGCGTCATTGAATCGATCGATAAATACGCTACTCTCTAATTTTTCAGTCAAGGACACAACAATTTGCACAGGGTAAAAATCGACCCAAGTTTAAAGTCGTAACAAGGACCTATCAGTCTCGCGCGCGAGCACTTAACCACTAGACCACTGAACCACTCAGCATCCAACGGGTGTTGATGTCTAACTTCAACTAATCCACGAAATTGAGCAACACATTCACCATTGTCTTCAGTGAGTTACTATCTCACAACTGATACGGTTGAACTCCACTGGTCACTGCTACTCACTAGAACTTCATGAAATACCTCTTGAAGCCAGTCACTAGTGAGCATGTGTTGATTAATATCAGAAGGGGTTTTGTAGATATTATAGTAATTTCAACTGACTCATGATCTCAACCATTTAAATTATACATAAATAACTGCTATTAGGTTCTTTTAAAGTTCTACATAATCCTACTTGTATTTCTTGCTATTCAAACTCAATTAGTAATATGAAAACTGACAGACTATAATTGATTATGTAAACTATTCAATGCTGGCTCATCATCATTCTAAAGGTTAAATGTTCATAATGAGACATGAATGTCATCGGTTTAATTCCTTTTCGTTCATGAATGGTCATTGTTAAAGAGTTTCACATTAGAACAAAATAGCTCTCTAATGCCTCCTAATAATCTATCTAAGATCAATCCATAATGTGCACTATAAGATTCATTAATCTCCACAATCACTCTATATAATTAATAATTATATGCTCACTAGTGACTAATTTCAAAAGGTAACTCTCTTGGAGTTCTAGTAAGAAGCAGTTAGTTATTTATTGATTTGAATTCTAAATAGGTAGTTTGTTTAAATCTTTGGGTTACCTAATCAATAATTATGAACACGGTGGATCTGATGCAGATGTGAAGGCGCGGATCGGCAAAGCAAGAACAGCATATTTGCAACTGGAACTCAAAGCAACTGACAACCAATACCAAAGTCAGGATTTTCAATACAAATGTTAAGACAGTCCTACTGTATGGGGCAGAAACCTGGAGAACTACGAAAGCCATCATCCAGAAAATACAGGTGTTTATTAACAATTGTCTACGCAAAATACTTCAGATCCATTGGCCGGACACTATTAGCAACAACATACTGTGGGAGAGAACAAACCAGATCCCAGTGGAGGAAGAAATCAGGAAGAAGTGCTGAAAGTGTATAGGACATACATTGAGGAAAGCAACCAACTGCGTCACAAGACAAGCCCTCATATGGAATCCTCAAGGCCAAAGGAAAAGTGGAAGACCGAAGAACACATTACGCCGAGAAATGGAAGTAGACATGAGAAAAATGAACAAGAATTGAATGGAACTAGAAAAGAAGGCTCAGGACGGAGTGGGTTGGAGAATGCTAGTCGGCGGCCTATGCTCCATTGGGAGTAACAGGCGTAAGTAAGTAAGTAATCAATAATTATGTAACACGTTTTTCAGTATACTTTTTTAATTAACTTTAACCAACAGTAACTGCATTGTTTACTTAAATACTTGAATAGAAAGTTCACAATTGATCATCATATTAAAGTTAACTGAAGACATCTTATGGTTGGTATATTTTTCACTTGCTTTATTATCTACCAGAATAAGTTACAAATATATTTGGTTTGATGTTTATAAATCGAAAGAAAAATCCATGGATATTTTAGAAGGATAGAACTAGGCCAAAACTTGTGCAATTGAAGAAGAGTAACAGTTACCAAACATTGTAAATGCATCTCTTATTATATGTGACTTAAATATGTTCACTTTAAAATGTAAATTATAATCATTTAATGACATGTCATTATTTGTACTGATGTTTACATGCCGTATCAAATATGATATTACACTATTAAACAAAACACAATCTGTTTCTCTAATACTTACCTTGGACCTCAACCCACTAGATGTATTACTTTCATTTGTATCGATCAATACATTATTGGGATTTGAATGATTCGCTTGATTTCGCATATTACTTAATATGGGAAATTTAAGACATCCATCTGATTGGTTAATTAATGATGAATTATTTACAAGATATGAATTGTTTAATGTCGTCGCTGTAGTTGTTAATGATGGTGTATTTATTGATATCGTTGTTTGTAATGACAGTGGCAACGATGGTGGTGTAGCTGTAAAAGCTCCAGGTAGTGTAGGAAATCCTGCACCAAACAACGTTGCCGCTGCTGCAGCTGCTGCTGCCATAGCATTAGGATCAGTAAAATTATTTGGTATACCAGGTAAAATAGTTCCTGGTTGTATAGATGATGATGATGAAGACGTTATGAATGGATCATCGGAATTATTTAATGATGTATTGAAACCTTGAAAATGTGATCCAATTATGGAAAAATTTGGACCAGATACCATTGATGGTAATAAATGTGGTGGGAATAAATTCACTGGATTATTCCCCATTTGATTGGAAGGAACTGTTGCTGACGCTGTTGTAGATGATGAGATTGTAGATGATGGTTGAAGTCCTAATCCATCTGTAGGTAATGATCCTGTTGGTATAGTAAGAAATGGATTAAATTGCCCAAATTGGGTATTAAATCCTAAATTATTCGTACAAAATGATGTTGAACCTGTTGGAATATTGGATAATAATTGATTTACATCAGAATGAGTCCCATTAGGAAATCCTAATGAATTAGGATATACAATGGAATTAGATAATGAAGGATTTACACCTAATGGAGATGGTGAATTTGGCATGGTATTCGATGTTGTCATCGTATTAGGAGTGGTAGTCGTTGTTATTGTTGTTGTTTGTAGATTTCCTGTCGTCGTCGTACTGACTGGTGAAGTAGAACGTGATGTATTTGGTGGATTCATTATAGGATAATCAAATGTATAAGAACTACGTCTAGCTTCACGTCGATTACCATCAATTGCAGCTTGTAATTCATTTGGTGAACTTAATCCAAGTGTTTCACATTCATATGGGTATAAATATTTCATATATCTAAATATGTTAAATAATTGTAATAACAGGGTATATTAGAGTTGATTTATGAAATAAATAAATGTGTTACGTAATAATAACTGTTTCAAATATAATCAAAATTAATCTAATTTGTTTCTACCTAATTATCTTTTATTGTTCCTAAGTGAATTTCTTAAACATTGAAATACAGATGATGAAAACATCTAAGTTGACAGTGGAGTGTTTGTTATTGGCTTTAATGGAGTATGAAAACTATAGAAAGACAAAGAAGTCGGAGTTTTTGAATTCCTATTGTGTTGAAATTTATGTATTCAATATAATAAAACAAGAAACTCTTAATATCAGATGGGTTTTGTGGAGATTGTAGTAATTTCAATGGTTAAGATCATGAGTCATTTGAAGCTAGATCACCATGGAAAACCTGGAAGCACTGGACTGCCGTTTCGTCCTGGCGTGGAACTCCTCAGCAGTGTGCATCCACGATCTCACCGCCTCCGCGGGATTCGAACCCAGGACCTACAGGTCTTGCGCGTGAGTACTTGACCATTAGACCACTGAGCCGGCATCCAACGGTGTTAATATCTAACTTCAACCAATCTACATACATTTATATTATTAACATGATTGTTATTTTTATTACTATATAATTCATTACTTACTGTGTTCTTAATGTAAATGCAGCACTTGTGATTGATGAAGGCAAATTTAAACCTTTAGTTATTTCACGCCATAATTTTTTATTAATCACTTCAACTAGACCCCCACGTGCAACAACTAATTGAAATAGTTCATATAAATCCAAAACTTGTTTAGCCATAATTGGTATTCGATTAACTGGTGTACCTGTTTATTTTAAAAATAAAGGTAAAAATTAAGGTAATATCAAGGTAATACTTACAGTATACACATATACTAATAAGAGACTGATCAATTGCAGTTTGAAACATCAGTGGATAGATTCAAGTAAAATAATACCAAGTGAATTTCAACTTCATCCCATTGTACAAGCAAGTGGATATCAGAACTCAGTAGTTAAGTGGATAACACGACAGCACTTGAAGTGAATGGTACTAGGTTCGAGTCACAGAGTGAACATCAACTCTGAGATGCGGATACATCTAGCTGACGAGTCCTAAATAGGACAAAACGTGGGTCGAACTCGATTCCACTCCTAGCCACTATCCATCTTTACTTGTAAATAATAATTTAGTTAAAACGATTTTGAGAAGATTGGCTTAATTTATTATTTGTATTCATTACAAATTAATTTCATTTGGTGTACCATTGAAATCTATCGAGCATTGTGTAGTTGTTTTTTCCTAATATGAAATACTTTAGCATTGAGCACTTATGATTTCATTGGGGAGGGGTCGAATTCAAGATATATTCGGGTCTCTTGATAAACCTTCTAACGAATAGAATCACTTGCTCGAGATCCATTTGTATGATTTCAATTTCAGTCAATCTTTGTTAATGCTTTTGGTATGCATTACTGAAATGTCCTATACTAGAAAGTAAAAGCTGTCCTGTAATGTTTAATTTTTAACACTATAAAAAAAGGAAGCAACAGTAAACATAATAAGACAATCTTTAGAAAAAAAATCGATTTTTATTCTTCAGTTTCAAGTTCATATATGTTGACGTCCGGATGAATTTCTTTCTAGCCAGCGTGTTTACTAATAGCTAAAATTTTATGAATGAGGGATAATTCCACACCTCTAATCTAATAAAAGATAAACTGAATATATATATATATATATATATATAAGCTTTTCTACCATAAGTGATACTTTTCCCCATGGTAAACATTTTAAAGTTATATCAAACATAATGAATAATAGTTAGTGTCAAGTGACTTTAAGCAACAACTCATTTCAGTTATTTAATTTCTATCAGAGTGTATAGAAAGTGATATAGCAATACAAAGTAGATAATCTTATTTCCATCTCTACCCTATCTGATATCTTGTTGTGAATATCAGTTTAATTTGTCTTTCGGTTAAAATAATATAGCTAAAATATTTTAAGCAGAGTTGGATAGCAACTGGCACATTTCATATGCCGGCGTTTATTTAGACTCAGTAGCTAAGTGAATCTTGGAGTGAAAGGTGTTGACTTCAAATCCCATGGTGAACGTCAACTTAAATGAGATGGACCCAGTTGATGAGTCTCAAATGGAATGAAACACATGCCCTGGATTCTAATATCAGCCACAATTCAACTCTGCTTAAAATGCTTGTGAATTGATGACGATACTGAGGCAATCCACACAGGATCCACATATTCCAAAAGAGATTGATCAATCACAACTCTAAATATAAGTGGGAAGATCCAAACAATACTTGACTAGATGATATTTACAGTTAAATAACTGGCTGATCGTCTTATATTCATGGCCTACCACTTATATATGAAGTTAAAGTTTTCATAAGAACATCAACACTTTAAGAAATATTGATATATTTAGACTAAGTTAGAAATGGAACCTTGAATTCTTATCTTAGATTCCACTATGAAGTGCTTTTCAACAAATTCAAAGGTAATCTAACTGTACATATAGTTCATAATATATGGAAAAACTAAGAGTTCATCACAATTAGGGTAAAGTGATAAATAAATCAATTACATTCTGACGTATAACAATCAGAAAGCCCACTATTCAATAAGTAGTATAAACAATCATTTACCAGTGGAAATCATTCCATATAATTCATTCATTGATTTAAGTCTGATTTTTTTTACTTAAGGCATCATTTCTATGTCACAAGTACAAATACAATAAGGCTTATGATTGGAGGTAGTCATTGAAGAATTCTTTACTTAAACTACATGTTAAGTGACATTCTTCAGTAAGATGTATCTATTATTTTCAATGAAGTGAGGCTCTCTATGTCGGATTTTGAACTCAGGTTAACCATATTCACAATTTACCAATGAACCTAATAGACATTTTTTGTAATGATTTTTTTTAAGTTTTAACTCAAACTCATTACTAAAATGTAACATCGTTTCATCCACTCCGAGATTAATCATTCTTAGTTTTGAATATCAATAATGGGATAATTCAAACCCTTAAGCATAAACATGACTCCCATTGAACTTAGTAGCTTAGTTGATAACATTTTGGAGCTATAAGCGAAAGGTATTGGGTTCAAATCTCAATGTGAACAATAACACACTTCTATTTAGGTACATCTAGTTAACAAATCATAAACAGAGCGATATCAACTTATTGTAGATTCTACTATCAACTACAATCCAAATATATATAATAAAAACTTTTTAGACTGTTCCTAAATTGAGATTAGATAGTGGTTGGAGGTAGTCGACAAGTAACCCTGGATCCGGTTTTCGTGCTACTTGGCACTCGTCAGCAAGGTGTACCTGTAATCTTGAGGGAACTGGTGCTCCCTGGCAGATTGGATCCCGTATCACCTAGCGTCACAGTCAGAGACGTTACCACTGAGCTATCCGGGCCGCGACTGACCTCCTGTAGGACTGAGATGTAATCACAATTGATTGATCACTGGGTGGTAATCAATGTCATGTGTGTCAAGTCCTTATTTTAGTGCAGATCGAATGCTATCGACCATGTTGCAATGTGGCCACCAATCTAGGTGACTCGACGATGCGTGCACTATATATTGAGATTAGATGGTGGTAGTGTCGAGTCACCTAGATTGGTGGCCACATTGCATCATGGTCGATAGCATTCGATCTGCACTAAAATAAGGACTTGACATACATAACATTGATCACCACCCAGTGATTAATCAATTGTGACTGTTCCTAAATGTTATGATAAATGAATGATGGGACAATATTTAAATCTTAATTTTTTTTATATTTTTGGAATGAATCTAGAAACGATATACATTTACTGCATTACATACAATTACACATACACATATTATCTGTTTAAGTCTACTTGATTACTATATTTATATTCAAATAACTGATTTTATTATTTCCTAGATGTACATGTAGTGAACAAGAATGCCAGTGGGGAAAATTGAATGTATTTGAGCACAAAATTACAGGGTATCCCAATAAAATCTGAGAACCATATAGTAAATAGTTAATCTGCAAAATATCAATCCATCATATCAAACTTGACTGTTCTTTTGCAAATATCAGTCCATTGTCTCAGATTTCATTGTTCATTCCTTTTCATACCAATTGCGTTCCATTTTCCGTCTTTTCCTCATCGATCTTCTGCTGAAATACATTCTATGTTTGACTACGGTTATATACTACTTATGTGGATATAAGTAACCCACACCACATACCTACATAAAAGCGTGATTTCCATAAAGGGAAAAGTGGGTAACTTTGCATTTGAAAAAGATTTGAATAAATAGTAATGAGAAGTTTATTTCTGAATGCTTTAACATTCATCTACTCAAACTAAATCACCACTGTTTTCTTGTAGTACATGGATACATGATCCTTAATTTTTTTAAAAATATTTTATTGTTTCATTTTTCGATTGTAATTAATTTCAGTTTCTATATTCACCCGTATTATAAACATGGCTTATTGATAAGATAATGATGAACATAATATTAGTAAAATAGATAAATATACATACATATGGATATCCATGTGTGAACAGACTGATATACTATAAATAGATCAATGTCAGACCACCAGTGAAAACCTGAAAACACCATCTGACTATTTCGTCCTAGTACAGGACTCCTGAGAAGTTTGCATTCACGATTCCGCATGCGGAGCTCGAACCCGGGGCAGTGGTGAGCGGTCGAGCAATATCGTTCATCTAATGAAGTTAGACATTAACACCATAGGATACCAACTCAGTGGTCTAGAGGTTAACCATTCGTGCGCGAGACCAAAAATCCTGGGTTTGAGTCCCGCGTGCAGGATTGTGAATACGCACTGCTCAGGAGTCCCATACCATGACGAAATGGTCATCTAGTGTTTCCAGGTTTTCAATGGTGATCTAACATTGATTCATTCATGATATCGGTCTAAAATCAACAATCTTTATCAACCTTATACTAATACAACATATAAGCAGATTTATATCTGATGATAACTTTTGTCTTAAACTATCCTAGTTTGATAGTTCTCATCAATGTGTATCTATAATTTTATCAAGTCTCATGTCTGATGAGGATTATATTAACTTTAAACCATTGAATAAAAATTCAATAATCATATATTGCTGAAGAGCATAAAACTACAGTGATTAAATTGTTACAGTCTTATTTCTTTTCTATTTTCAATAGTCAATTAACTGATTTCTATTTAAAATAAACTGTAATGAAATAATCATTGAGATTTATTTAATCATTATTAATAGGCTGATGGACAGCCTATACTCCTCCACGAGGAGTAACAGTCGTAAGTAGTAGTAGTAGTAGTAGTAGTAGTAGTAGTAGTAGTAGTAGTAGTAGTAGTAGTAGTAGTAGTAGTAGTAGTAGTAGTAGTAGTAGTAGTAGTAGTAGTAGTAGTAGTAGTAGTAGTAGTAGTAGTAGTAGTAGTAGTAGTAGTAGTAGTAGTAGTAGTAGTAGTAGTAGTAGTAGTAGTAGTAGTAGTAGTAGTAGTAGTAGTAGTAGTAGTAGTAGTAGTAGTAGTAGTAGTAGTAGTAGTAGTAGTAGTAGTAGTAGTAGTAGTAGTAGTAGTAGTAGTAGTAGTAGTAGTAGTAGTAGTAGTAGTAGTAGTAGTAGTAGTAGTAGTAGTAGTAGTAGTAGTAGTAGTAGTAGTAGTATTTATAATTACCTTTCATTTAAAAACTTACCAGAGAAACTAAGTGAATATATAACTTTTCTTCTCTTGTACATTCAATCATATCAAATCACTTGGGAAAATATTGGACATTTATATTTTACCATAAAACACTGGTTATTGTTTTGTTTGTTTGGTTTATCGTTAAAGTCTGAACTCAAACAAAAGACTCTGTATGTGAGATTATTATTATTATGGTTGATGGTTGATATGCGGTACATTACCACTTTTTTATGTTTACAAGTACAATTCAATGGGAATACGTACGTACATACATACATACGTATGTACGTTGTAAGCGTGTGGATATATATTTACAAAGTCAATTTCCTCTTTTAACAATTTAAGAAAAATAAATCAGGATTAAATGTGTGTGTGTGTGTATTTGTTTCTATGATAACCAAGAATGATAGATATAAATAGACAGAATAAACTTGAATTCAAGACACGTGTATCAAAAATGAAAAAAGAAAAGAAAAGAAAAGAAAATTGAATACGATGGTATTGCTACAACCGGAGAAAAAACAAACCCAACTTAATGAAAAAATAAGAAGAAGAAGAAAAATGGAGAGAAAACGATTCAGTCTAATTAATTTTCATCTTCATTGTGATCATGTATGTTTATTAGTTTGTAGATATAAGAAATGTAACTTTAATATAGACTATACCATGACAACACAACTGAACACAACTGATTGATATTCATAAAAAGTTCGTTATTTATTATGAATATTATCAAGATCTATGCAACACAGCTGGTTCTGTTATCGTGGTATTGAAATTTTACTGTTTAATTACTTATGTGCACTTTACTTTGGTATAAAATAATAATACGATGGTTGGATCAACTGACGTCGCTCATTATTATTATTACTGTTACCATCATCATTATTTTATTATTATTATTATTATTAGTAGTAGTAGTAGTAGTATTGCTAGTAGTTTGTAGCATAAGATACATATAAATATATGAATACCCTCGTATTTTCTGCTCTCACCCACCACCTTCGTACCTATTCACATCTCCAATTCACTACATATACATATATAACTGTATTTATTAAATTTCTTTGTTTGATATCATATAACCTGAATTATATACTACTTATTGAAAATAAGTAATATTTAGGTATTGATACATTGCCATAAATGTATGTATGTTAGTCACTGATCAACTGATTGACTGAATAAATGAATGATTAGTCCAATTAGCGAGGAATTGAATAAGATTATTAGATATTTATAAAGAAGAATTTTTTTAACACACTAATAATAAATAACTAAACATACATAACAATTCGGTAGTAACCGAAAGAAACTGAAGAACAAAGCTGTACATATAAGATTGAATGACAACAGATTGAGTGGTTGAGTTTTTTAGTGAGTTAATGGGTGAGAAGTTGAACTAGAAGTAAATGATGGAAAGAGAGCGAGAGAGAACGTGAAATATATTGAATAATAACAAGGAGTGAAGAGAGGTAACCTTAATGTAGGGGGGATAGGGTTAACTTGATAATAATGATAGTAACTATGATAACAGAAAAAAAAATCATTATTTTCACCTTACACGCTTAAGAAACCAGAAACTAATTGGCCCTAATTTATATGGTTAGATGAGTGTTGTGTGTTTTTTTAAAGGAATAAAGATGACAAATTGAATGTACGTATCTTCATTTTCTCTTTTTCCTCTTGATAAGATGAAGTAATTTGTTCATGTATAGTTAATAAATTGAACATCTTAAAATTCTAAGTTCTCAATCAATAAGGTTTCCATTGTAACTATGATTAATCATAGAAGTAGTAGTGATAATAATGTCAGTGGTCAGTTATTTATCTCCACTCCGTAATGATTATAATAATCACCATATCCACGCTAGTAACTAACTTTAAGAGACAATTCCATGAGTACTAATAAAAAAGGCTTAATTATATCAAGGATGAAATAGATAAATCCGTAATGATCACGTAATATTATGACTTAACTGAAGTTAGAAATGCAAATGATTTGGATCTTAATTCATTGGTTTAAATTTCAAGTCCATATTATGAAAAATGGAAGTTTATAGTTTAACCCCTGATGTAACTGTTGTTTTGCATAGCTTGGAGCATCAGATCAGAACTAAATTGATGATCAATCTTCCCTGGTTCTCAATAGTTGTCTAATGAAAGTCTGTCTATAAGGTCAATTTCAAACTCAATAATATCTAGAATATTCTGTAATAATAATATTTATGAACCTCCCTAATAACTCTACTACATTTGAGTTTAAAGCTGAAATGTATAGAATTCATAAAGTGTTTCATTAATATGAACAGATGAGTTCGAATTGTAAAATAGGTTCAATACAATTGTGAGATTAGTGGGTTTTATTCATTAACATAAAACAGTTAACAAATACTTTATCAGAAGGGGTTTCGTGGAGATTGTAGTAATTTCAATACTTGACATCATGAGTCAATTGAAGCTAGACCACCGACTCAGTAGTCTGGTGATAAATTAAACTAATCACTATGATGCCCCTTTATTGATCTTACAGTTTTCATCCTGAAACTAATTTCAATGGATTTTACTAACCCCCTTATATTAATAGGATGAAAAACTAGCAAATAAGTTAATATGTACTGTCAGATTCTCGGCGTTAATCAAGTTTATCCATTTGAGTGTACATCTGCTTAAAACTGTACTTTACCATTTGCACATACACTAGGAAGGGAAAAACAGAATTACTATGTTTAATCCAGTATGTTTCCTTTTTAAAAAAAACACATCTTAATAGATGATATATAGTTATTATGTTCATCCATTTTACTTATTACCACAATGAACTGCAATATATAGACATATATTATACCTTAGCAGTTGTCATGAAAAGCATATTGAAGGGTATAAAAACTATTGCATAATTAATATGATTCAATTAAGTTGAAGATTTACTTCTCAACAATCCAAATGAAGAATACATAGAACTTAAAACAACTGTCTGTAAACCAATATCAAAGTTAGAATCTTCAATACGAACGTCAAGACAGTTCTACTGAAACTCTCAGAACTACCACAACAATCATCAAACATGTATAAGTATTTATAAACAATTGTTTATACATGCCCTGGTACGGTCGAGAGTGGGGAGAGTCATCTCTCCCACTCTAAATGCTCTCACATGGCCATGCGTATACAACCACTGACAGGGAATTCCTACTCACTACCTTTCCGTGGGTTTACTGTTGTTTACGAGATCGAGAGGATGTCCGGTACTTTAAGCGGGTTGGTGGACACGAAAGGTACACCTAGGGGAGTTGGAAAATCCTGATTCGAAATAGATGGTTTACATGGGCTCCAGGATTCTGAGGGAACAAATAGTCCTTTAGATAGAAGGCTCCGGGTGTGGCTGTCTAAGAAAACCACCTGTTTTGGTGTGGACACCAAAGCAGTATCTCAGCTGTCACATAAACCGAATGACTTACGTATCGCATATCTATTTAGTGCCTCCTTGTACCAATGTTTATGTGTTTAAATAAATAAATAAACAATTGTTTACATAAGATAATCAGTGTCTGCTGGTCGGATATCATCAGTAAGAGTTTATTATGGAATAGAACAAATCAGGTTCCATCTGAGGAGGAAATTAAGAAAAAACTTTGGAAGTGGATAGGACATACATTACGAAAATCACCAAACTACATCAAGAAGCAAGCACTAACTTGAAATTCTGAATGAAAACGGAAAAGAGAAAGACCAAAGAACACACTACACCTAGTATCATAAACAGACATGAAAAGAATGAATAGCAACTGGAAAAAATTTCTCTGGACAGAGTTGAATGAAGAATGCTGCTGATCAATCTATGCTCCTCCATGATGGGTATCATTCATAAATAAGTCAGTAATCCTCTTAAAAATCCTTTTATCATATCAGATCACTACCTATCATTAGATAAATTTAAACAAAGAAATATAATTGTTATATTTTTTTAACAATAGTCATTTTTTCACTGATTGAAATCATGAGTCAATTGAAGCTAGACTACCATGGAAAACCTGGGAGCACTGGACGGCCGTTTCGTCCTTGTACGAGACTCCTCAGCAGTGGGCATCCACGATCCCGTACCCCACAGTGGTCTAGCTTCAACTGACTCATGATTTCAACCAGTGAAATTTCTAAAAATCTCCACAAAAACCCATTCCGATAATAGTCATTTTTATTTAAATTTTTTGACACATTCTATTGATTTCTTTAAAAGAAAAAGTTCCATTTTACTATCTAATCGTTAAACCATTCAATTTATGAGTATTAATACTAAGTTATACCTCACACACACACACATAAGATAATAATCATAACCGCTTTCTTATTGATTAATGTCAACTATCAACCACATTTATATTTAAGGGGGAAAAAAAAGATAATTCCTAGACAAAACAAAAAAAACCCAATTTATCTTATATCAACTAATCACCTACATTAAATATCTTTCATTCTCGAGAATAATAATAATAATAGTGTTCACTGTAGTTGTTGTTTTTGGTTATTGATTTATTAGTGCTAGGTTAAGTTTACCTATTCATCATTGGTGCTCTCGCCCCCCCTTCCTCCCTCTCTCTCCCAATCAAAAATATTCTTTTCTAATGAACTAATTAATTTCACAAAATTTTCGACAATAAATGCACAAAAATAAAAAAAATAATGACAAGTTGAGGTTTATTTTCAAAATCATAATCATCTTACTACTTGGTAAATAATTTTATCTATACCTTTATTTTGTTGTTGTTGTTGTGTGTTGTTATTGTTGTTGAAATGATGCATAAATGCAGCTGTTTTAATATGTGTGTGTTTCTTGGTGGTGGTGGTGGTAGGGGTGTGGAAATAAATTTAATTTTTCACTATGATCATTTAGAAGTAGTTAAATATCTATCGTGAAAAGAAATTGTTAAGAGTAAAATGGATGAATGAATATATATATGTATGTATACTATATGCATAAAGTGGTGCATTCTTGTGTGCAATTACACACACACCCACACACACACACACACGCATAAACATGCAAAATTATCAAGCACGCATAAGTTTTTTTTATTATTTATAAACAAGCATATACGATTCTTTTTAAGAATAACTGTCTATTCCTTGATAATATCTAACTCTTTACATTGTCTGGTATGAGTATATATAAATATAAATGAAGTTTAAAAAAGTGGGATTATACTTTTCTGAAAAAAAATAGTGCTTTACCACTAGGATCAAAAATTAATGTGTATCATAAAAAGAGACAAGAAAATATTATTATTATTATTACAGCTGCTAAAGCTTTACAATCATCATATGAAGATCATTTATTTATTTATTCAAAAATAAATATGCATATCTGATAGAATGTGATAGAGATTGTATATATGTGTTTATGAGGAGTGAAGGTGCCAATGGTTTTATTGTCTTTTATCATTCATTATATTTGAATAAGTTAACAAGATATAACACCGTCGTTATTACTATCAACCACCCACCCCCTGTATGAGTTATATGCCCTAAAATACTAAAGTTTGTCATCTATAATCCAACATTATCTATGTGTATAATTTAAGACACTTAAAATAGTTGAACATAGACATAGACATACATGTATGTATGTGTGTATATGTGTGTGTGTGTGTAATATTTTATTTTCAATTTTTCTTATCTTAATCAACAATTCTTTCTACAAAAAAAGTCACCAATGAAAGGTGCTTACATAAATATACTTTTATTTATTTAGTTTATCAACTAACTGATAGGAAAAAAAGTATTTCCCATTCATCAATTTGATTGTTATTATTATTACTATTAGTAGTAGTAGTAGTAGTATCAGTAAACTTATCATCATTAAAATCATTGATCTTTTTTTACTTCTTTTAATCTAAGGCACATGAAATTAAACAAGGAGAGATATTTCCCCTGCCCCCCCTCTCTCAGACAATCAGAATATAAAGAGATAGGGATTATTGTTATTTTATTTTTCATAGAAAGCAACAGAAGAAGTTTGTTCATTTTTTTTCCCAGTTGTATGTAAACTATCCCTTTAGATTATTCATGATTACCTTCCCCCCATCCCGTTAAGAATATGCATGAAAAATCATCATTCATGAATAGTCTACAAAAAATTCCACCACCCCTTTCTTCACTTGTTTTTTTTTTCTTTTTAAAATTTGATATGAATGAACAAACGCTTAAAATTTTTAATTTTGTCATTGTCTCAAAGATCCCTGTTCAATGTCTGTGATAAAAATAAAACCGCAAAAAAATAGAACTGATCCAGATCTAAATGGCATGAGAATGATGATGATGATGATGTGTATACTTCTGTTTATGTATGTCGATAGTTATCATAAAGATATGTATTTATGAATATGTATAATAAACTACAAATCACTTCAATCTTATCACTGAATTTCGGGTTATTTAGGTTATGTAAATAAATATGGTAAAGTTTTCAATTACAAATTGAACAACCACAGCAGTGTTCGTTTATAAAATCTTACAGTGTAAAATAATAATCTACATTTTCAAAAATATGTAGGTCTGTAGAAAAATATAGTTCCAATTATATATCTATACACCATTCAGAGATTAATCCACCGTGAATAGTGCACTCACACACACACACACACACCTATGCACAAACAATAATAAAAGGATAACATTCAAATCATCACGTTTGTCTCTTTACAGATTATCTTCTGTTAGAATTCATGTATTTATGCTTCGGTATGCTTAGAATGTGTGTGTGTGTATATATATATAATGATGCATATATGACAGAGTTATATATGTAGATATCGATTTTTGTGTTTAATGTTTGTTTCCCTATGGTTTACGATGCACCAATATGTCAATGTGTATATTCGAAGCAAAAATAAGGCGACGAACTAATCTACATTGCCGCCCCCCCCACAAAAAATCTTTTTTTCCTCTAAATCAAAATATAAAACACAACTGTTGTGTATAATTTTTTCTTCTTCTTGTATGTGCAATTTTGATTTAATCAACCAAAAAAAAGAGAGAGAATAAAGCAAAATGGTGGATAAAATCTAATAGAAACTCAACAACAACAACAAATTTTTCCCTCAATAAATATCTATAAAAAGTAAATATATTGAGAGAAAACAAAATTATAATTTAACGACGTCAACCACTATCACTATTATTATCATTATTATTACGGTGATGATGAATACTTGTTTCTGTGATTAATTATCGTGGTCTGGTTAGTTTTGTCTTTTTTTTTTGAAAAAAATTCTTCAACATACTTATATTTTTTGGGAGGGGGTGGGGGTGAAAATTTTATAAAAAAATTTCCATTAATTTTTTATCGTCTATCTAATTAAGAAGAAAAAAATAGTCCTGCTGTGTATAGTATGTATAATGGGTAGGGGTGGTAGGAGAGTAAGGATTAACCACACATTTACACACACACACACAAAATACCCCTACACAGTCAATGTTTAATTTTTGTTCATTCAATAAAGAAAAATCAATTACTAGGACTATTTCCTGTTTTTTTTTTCTTATTAATATGAACCTTTTTTTTTAGAAAAAAACCCAACTAAAACCTGATTAGAACACGAGTTAATAAGCATAGTGTATACACATGTATACACGTGTGTTTTATTTATATTGTCATCTAATAATTATAATGATAAATACGTCTGGTTTACAGTAGTAGTACAATATATGAAAACAGAAAAGGAAGTACAGTATCAACATTTGAATCTACATGATCATAAATATGCAATCATGACAAAACTATATATAATATCCTGCTGTTATCTTGTCCTCGCTCTCTCTCTCTCTCCAAGATCAAATCAAATCAGGCGAGATATTAAGAGAGGGGGGAAGAAAGAAGTAGTAGCTTGTTTTTAGGAGACCTTCGAATCACCAGTCTATATTATGATAATAATAATAATAATAATAATAATAATAATAATAATAATAATAATAATGTCTTGTAACAGATTAATAAGTATTTGGGGGGGAGGGAAACGGGCATAACATACACAAGTATTAATTTGTACCTTAAATGAATGATTTTAGAAAACGAAAAAATATTTAATTAAACCAAGATCATGTTAATCCATCGTTTTCAATCTCTTTCGTCAATGTTCATTTATTTTTTTTACAAGAAACGAACTGTATTCATAGTTGTTCATTTTATAAAAGATTTAAGTAATAAAATAAGTGTGTACATAGACGCATACTCCCAATTTTGTGCGCGTGCGTGTGCATGTGCGTGTGTGTATGTGTACTATGTAGACGTCTGGACATAATTGTCTATTTACAGTGTGTTGATCCTCTAAGAGAAAATGTTAATTAAAGTTGGAATTAGTCTTGACAAATATTTTCTTTATTCAATAGATGCTGTTTATTCTATTTCCCCAAGTTGTAATTTAGTTTAACTTTGTTAAATTACTGAATGGATTAAGTAATTGTCAACGTCTACATTATTTAATATTGTGACGTTTCAATGGTTCCAAATAGTTTCTAGTTCATTAAATGAAGAAGTTTGTATAATAAAGTTCAATTTTTTACTGAAGATTTCATGTTATTGAAGTATTCGCATCTATCTTTTATGAATATGTTTAGTACTGCGCAACCTAACAGACGGAACTATATATATTTCAACTGAAATCATGAACCGATTGATGCCAGACCACCATTGAAAACCTGGAAGCATTGGACGGCCATTTCGTCCTATTGTGGGACTCCTCAGTAGTGCGCATCCACGATCCCACTCGCGGGGTTCGAAACCAGGGCATTCAGTCTCGTGCGCGAATGCTTAACCTACTGGACCACTGAGCCGGAATCCAACGGTGTTATTGTCTTACCTCAACCAATCCACGAAATTATGCGACCACCTTCCATTGTACTGAGGTAGACACCTGTTTCTACCCGATATGGATTAGCTCCACTGGTCATGGCTTCCCACTAGAACTCCGAGAATTTTCTCACGAAGCTATTCACTAGTGGGTACATGGTAATTATCAGTATAATGGTTGTGGAGATTGTTAAGTTTTTGATTGAGATCATGAACCAATTAATGTTAGACCACCATTGAAAACTATATATATTCTGCATCCACTAAATGAACGGAACAAATATCAGAAACTTCTAGAAACGATGCTCGTATTGAACATTAAAGACATCTAAGTTTACCAAAACAAGATACTTTACACTATTTTATTCTCATAGTGTGATACTAATATACTTTTGACGAGTCAATAAACAATGCATGTATGAAATATAAGAGGATTCAAATTCTAGTTTAAGTTTTCAATGAATATGAGATACAGATTCTAGATAGTGGCTTAACAACTAAATTTTTCAAACATTAGTTACTCAAGCCTAAAAACGGATTCATCAGTATATAAGAAGATGAATGATAAAAGTAAATTTCTAAAGAACTAATACTTATTAACAATCATTAGTTATTAAAATAACCGTCAGCTCATTCTATCAATGACTTTCAAATGAGTGATTGATTGAGGGGATTTCGTGCTGTGTAACTTGTTTAAATCGTTAACTGATTTTATATTGATACTTAATAAAAATTAGAAACCAGTGAGTATCTGTTTCATCCTAACATGAGACAACTGAACATAACTAGCACACTAGTAGGTACATAGGTTAATTGTCGGATTGTTTCATCGATCGAGATTCATCAAATCTAAGGATAAGACAAACATGATATTGACTACTACATTGTTATTAATCAATAAAACAGTATGATGTTATTGACTGGTATTGATTGATTTGTTAGGAATGTATTTCTTTCTCCATAACTTTCAACTAATCAATACCAGCTTTATATTACAAATAATCATAGTAACCTCATATAGTATTTGAAGAAATAAGTCACAAAAAAAAGCATTGCATTTACTCATAACTAGCGTCAAAATAATGTATTCCTTGGATCAACATATAGTTGATTAGACCATTATTAGTCAGGATTTGAATTATCCAAATATCTATATATAGAAATGAATTGCATACCATTCATTGTTGGTGTACGTGTGTCCTGTATGTGTCCGGAGTGGATTGCCTCAATCTAGTTATTACGTCACAACGTTTATTTTTTAGAGCAGATAAATTGTGGTTAATAATAAAATCCTAGATGTTTTCAAGCTGGAAGTACTGGATTCAAGTGCTGATATGAACCACAATACATTGAGATGTATATACATTCAACTAACATATCCAGAATGGGTCAAAACACACTTACTATAGATTCTACTCCTATTTATAAACTAATAAATCAATCTACTCATTCAACAAAACAATAATTGAATAGTGATAATTAGTTATTTCAATATCACTCACCTCTTCTTTGCATATAAACAAAAAGTTCATCAAGAAATTCTTTTCTTTTTGGATCATCTGAAATAACGTATAACTGAAATTGGGAAACAAAGGAAATAGTACATAATAAATAATAGAGAGTAATGAGCAAAATGATGGAATACAGTAGAAATGCTCACATGAATTCCCATATAGTGTCGTAGATAAACACTGCTCTAACAAATCTCATACTAAGACGAAACAGCTGTATTACTGATTCCTGGTTTCCAATAGTCATTCAACTAATGTTACTTCGTGATAGGTACACAGTTTTCTTTTCAATAGACCGAACCAACAAACAAGTGCTTATTAATGTAAATATTTAAGAAACTTTAAGAAACTCCGAGGCGATTTTGAATGGTGTCTAAATAACTTTAAAATACAAATCTTTATAGTGTTTAATGAATGAAAGGAACAGAAAGACCTCTCTGAAATTGTAGTTTAGGGTGATTGGGACTCATCAACAAAAAAAATATTTGAAATTTCTGATCCGATATAGTTACCCGGCGATATTTAATACTACATCAATCAGTCTATGAATAAAAGAAACTATTATTGAAATCATAGAAATTCAGGATCAAAACAACGACCATTTATATTTGCTGAATATTTCTTCAAGATATATGTATGAATCATATAATAATCAACAAATCAACTAGGTGATACTACATTTAGGTGCCAACTAACTTAAAAGCTAAAATTCAAGGTTTCCTATTAATTACCATCTCTTTCCAAAATCTCATTTCAACAGTATACACTATGTTGTTGAATCCCTTAAACCAATGGTAAAATTATAACTTTATGGGTAGAAGTTTAATAAAAAGGCATTGAGAAGTTTTCTTGAGATCAGAAACTGACCAATGTTAGATAATTACTGAAGACCATAAAATGCTAAATAGCTAGTTCGTCCTAATATGAGACCCCTCAACAGTGTACCTTAACGAACCCACTTAAAGGGGATTGAAATCAAGACCTCTGGACCACATTATGGGGGGGAGGCTTGACCCTCAGACTACTTGACCAGTATGTAATAGTTTAAATGTCTAACTTCAATCAGCTCGTGACATTGCTCAGGAATCTTCCATTATTTTCAGTCGGTAACTTCCTTACATTCAACAGGGTTTAAACTCTACTGGTGGTTGTAACATAGTGTAACTTACAAGTGAATTACTAACTAACCGGAAATGTCTTTTTCTCCATATCGTAGACTCATTCACTAATACACTCAACTTAAACAAACTTAATGCTAATATTATTCTGTATAACAATTACAAATAGCTTCAAAAATCAACTTCGAAGTATCCGATTGATCAGCAGAGTAGTTAAATTTATATAAGAAAGTACTGTAATTGAAGTACAGAATATTATAGTAAGTTTCCTATGATATATATGCATGTATATACAGTCCATTTTTGATAAACTGACGGTAGGTTGACTATCATCTAAGTAAAATTGGTTAAATTCCGAATGTATAAAATATTCATGAAATGACACTTGTAATTATGTGCATATAGTAATCTATTATTATTCAAGTCATATTTAATTAAGTGCTCATTGGCTTTAGAACTTCTCTACACTCTTCAAAAAATGAATTCCATATGCAACTATATATTAACTGGTAACAAACACATTTTGAAGTTAAGATGTTTTCCCACAACAAATGTCAGAAGAGGTGTTCAGAGTAGAAAAAAGAACATGTTAAGTAGTTGGGGATAGTAACTTTTTTATTTTTATTTATTTAGTTGAACACGTAAATATTGGTACAAACGGGGCACCGAATACATATACACTACACAAGTCACTTGATTTGTGCATGGGCTATGATACTTTCCGGGTGCCTAGACCGAAGCAGGTGGTTTTCTTAGGGGGCCACACCCGGAGCGTTCAACCTAAAGGTCTGATCCACAAGGCAGTGGAGCAACGTCAGGAGATGCAGTCCCATGGTAGCCGTTGACCAATAATTGGTTCGTACCCCATTTTCTCTCCTCAGGATACTGGAGCCCATGTGCATGACTGGTTTAGAATCAGTGTTTTCCAACTCCCCTAGGTGGATCCTCCATATCCACCAACCCGGTTCAAGCGCCGGACATTCGCTCTTCGTCTTCTCAATTTCGTAAACAACAGTAATGCCGCGTGAAGGCAGTGAATAGGACTTCCCCGGAAGAGGCTATATACTAGTGGCCAAATGAGAGCATTTCGAGTAAGAGAGCTGACTCTCCCTCCCCACTCTCGGCCGTACCAGGGTATTTGAGAGCCAATCAGTGCTAATATCTCGACAAATATGACACTGGTTACAAGTTGATTTTCAATTAGTGTATACTAATCAACTGGTTGGATATGTTAATAATCGATAATTAACTCATGTTAAATTCATTCTCTAATTAATTGTATATGCTGACCATAATATTCTACTGATCCAGTTAAAATATCCGATCATTAATCTTAAGAAACTTGACACCTATTCTACTCTCATTTTAAATGTTAATTAACTAAAGGTACTTAATAAATGTTGTTATCTAATTAATAACAGGATTATAGCCTTTTGATTGAAATCATGGACAGATTGATGTTAGACCGCCATTGGAAACGTGGAAGCACTGGATGGCCGTTTCGTCCTGTTGTGGGACTCCTCAGTGGTGCGCATCCACGACCCGGCTCGCGAAGTTCGAAGCCAGGGCATTCAGTCTCGCGCGCGAATGCTTAACATACTGGACCACTGAGCCGGCATCCAATGGTGTTATTGTCTTACCTCAACCAATCCACGAAATTGTGCGACCACCTTCCATTGTACTGAGGTAGACACCTGTTTCTACCCGACACGGATTAGCTCCGAAACGGCCATCCAGTGCTTCCAGGTTTTCAATAGTGATCTAACATCAATCGGTTCATGATTTCAATCAAAAGCTTAACAATCTCCACAACCACTAAACTGAGGATTATAGTCATTGATTACAAAGATATTTCATCCTCCAATCTACCTACATCCGATCTACCAATCAGATATCAGTTTTATCCCATTCCCATGAGTAATGATTACGTCATTTAGTTAATAAGTAAACTACATCTATTCATTCTCATTTAAATTTAGAATTTAACTAATCAACTGAATCATTTCAATAAACTTAGTTAAAATATGATGTAATACTAAGTAATAACAATAGGATAATCAAATGAATTACATTTTAATACAAGAAAACTACACACAAAGGGAATGGAATTAAACATTGAATTCACTTGATAACTAATTTAACTCAATTGATAATCCACACCAATTTCTACTCTATACGCCAACCTCTTCCCAGTTTTATTTCTGTAGTCTCTTGATTATTAAATAATATATCTCTTATGTAGTGAACAAGAGCGCCAATGGGTACAATCGAATGTATTTGAGCACAAAATTACAGATTATCTCATAAATCATATCAAACTTGACTATTCATGTTGCAAACATCAATCCATTGTCTCAGATTTCATTGTTCATTCCTTTTCATACCAATTGCATTCCGTTTCCGTTCTTTCCTCATCGATCTTCTGTTGAAATACATTCTATGCCTGACTACTGTTATATACTACTTATGTGGATATAAGTAACCCGCACCACACTTATACTAAAGTAAAGCTACTAAAAATGGGAACTTTACTAATAAAATTACTTACTTAGCAATAATAATAATAGTAATAACTGTTATCATTACTATTAATGATAGTACTAGAAGGAGTAGTAGTAATTTTGATAATTAATTAGGCGCCATATCAAATAATGATAGACAGATTTATTTATAAAAATTACATTAAGAATCTACTTAGGTGACTTCATTTAATTAAAAAAATTATAAATTTTAATTATAAAAAAGATATAAGTAAATAAGAGTACCATAGAGTAATATTCTCAAGAAAAAGTAACCCATAAATTTTCTGAGTTGCTAAGGTGGGTCTATTGACAAAATTTACATTCTGATCTCATTTAAAGTGTAGTTGAAAATCAGAGACCACTATGTATGCATGTATGTGTGTGTGTATGTGTGTATGTTTGTGTGTGTGTGTTTGTGTTGTTTCATGAAAAAATTAAGTTATACAGAATTTTTATTAAAGTCATGTGTTACAAACGATAATAATCTCTATATTCATGATTAACTTGGAGATTAAAATCAATGTACCCTTGAAATCATAAAGGCAAATGGTACGGTGTAAGTATCATTTAAAATTGGAAATGAACACAAAAACATACTAATGAGATTGAATGAAATTATAGACCGATGACTTAATATTTTGCTTGATATGAGAAACTTGAAGATTAGAAAGATCAATTGTATGGGTTTAACCGTTAGTAAATATGAAATTCGCGCTATAACCGGATCCCAAACCAATGGTGCACATGGGCTCCAGTATCCTGTGGGAACAAATGGTGTATGAACCAATCGTTGGTCACCGGCTACCATGGGAATGCATCTCCTCACTATGCTCCACTGCCTTGTGGATCAGACCTTTAGGTCAAAGGCTCCGGGTGTGGCCCCCTAAGAAAACCACCTGCTTCGGTCTAGACACCCGGGAAGTATCCCAGTCCTCACACAAACCGAATGATTTATGTGGTGCATATCTATTTGGTGCCTCGTTGTACCAATATCTGTGTTAAAATAAATAAAATACAGTCACATAGTAACAAGTTCAATCCTTACTTTGCCTACTTTGATCTAAATGATTGGGTAGTGTCATTAGCTATCACATTTAACGTATGGCTTAAGATTGAGTACATGAATAATAGTATCTGGTCAACAAAACTAAAATTTAACATCATGAACAATAAAACTCGATGGCGCAGAGTTTATATTCGATCTAAATTATGAGTTTCCTTAAAGATTATAGATGCCTATTGGTGATAAATATCAATTATTATGTAATCTAGAGAGTATATGGCCCCCAAATGGTTATCTGTAGCTATGCAATGTTAAAACATAGTATGCGCAATGTCAATTCACTTTTCAGTCAGTACTACGGATTGGTCAAATATGACTACTTGGTTGATAATCCTCGATTTTTGTTTAATGATATATATAT